CGTGCTCCGTCCCGGCTTTGTAGGGATGCGAGGTGAATGGTCTAACGACTACGGCATGCACGACTATGAGTAACCCCCCCCTCCGTCGCATGCCGCGCTCCCTTTTTAAGGGCCCGGCAGATAACTCCGACCCTGGCGATGCTTGTTTCCAATGCTAACAGCGGCGGCGACACTGCACTAAAATTGCACGTTTGTCAAACCACTAGTCCTTCGTCAACACCCCCCCTAGGACCCACTCACTACTAGACAAAGACCACCCCGGGCGCTGATGTTTGTCCCAGACGTGTGGTTCCTTGCTCGAGTTACCCTGCGCTGTGCTATGCATCACGGGGGGGGGGCTCACGGCAGACCCCGGCACGTGCGTTCCACAATCAATCGATTGAATAACGCCACAAACAAATATTTGACATGATTTGTTTTTTGTGTAGAATGTTTTTTCGACACGATTTTTTGGTCGTGGCACTTTTGTTTTTGTTTTTCACGTTTTTGTTGTTGTTGTGGCACGATAACTTTCTTTTTTGGCGCGTTTTTTTTTTTTGTTGACGCGATCCGTGTATTTTCTTCTTTTCTTTTTACGGCAAGGGCAACGAGGAGGAAGAAGACGACGACGGAGACAATAACGATGACGAGAGGTTCGCCTTTTCCGAGAGCCAGACTTCCGCCAGGTCGCAGATGGTCAAGTCGGCCAAGACGCCTTCCAAGGAGGTGCAGATCGAGGTACGTACGTACGCGCGGTGCGCGAGTGGTAACTAAAACACATGCCTCCGCTTCAACCCATCCCTTTCGACTGCAGTGGGTATGAACTGAGGGTCTGTGATTGTTTGTGGAGTTTGTTCAAGCACATGATGCGCGGTTGTTTGTTGTCGTGTTTCCGACGGTTGATGGATGTACGAGTATTGTGCATGCCGCTTCGGAAGTGACCGCATGTCCCCGTTCGAGGTTGTATCCACCCTGCCTGCGTGTTTGAAGTCTGTGTTGTGTCTGTGTCGTTCATTCCACACTTTGTGGCGCCATGCATGTTGGACGTGTAAGCCGGGGTCGCACAGGAAGAAGGTAGCACAGGGGAATTTTGTCGTTGTGGTTGCTGCTGCGGCTGTTGTTGTTGTTGCTGTTGTTGTTGTTGCTGTTGTTGTTGTTGAGTCACACGCTTCTTTCACAGTTTTTTTAAGGACTTGGGAGGGGGGGGGATTCAGAGGTCGTTTCCGGGATGAGGAAATTCTTCGACGCCTGCCCTAAATCAAGGGAGCCTGAAGGCTAGTTCGAACGATGCAAGTGGTTTCTTCTCCCGGCAGAACAGAAGATAGGACGAGAGCGCGGCTTGACGTGCAAGCAAGTAATTTGGCCCGTTGGGTGAACGCCGAGGTAGCCGGTGGTGCGCGTTTTCGCGTCTTCTCTCGTATGCTATGGTTATTGTTGTCGTCTTCGTTGTTTTTGCTGCTGTTGCTGTTGTCCTTGATGATGATGATGATGTTGTGGATGTCGTTCTTGTGAAATATGTATACCCACGTACTGCGGAGTGCACTCTACCCCTGTGTATGCTCTTGTGGTCTGATTGGTTTTTTGGTGGCCTTGTTTCTTGGCTTGCGGGTAACTTCATTCGGCCGTTTGCTCATTCGTGTGATCCGCGGTGTGGTTGCTTTCGTGCGTTCATCGTGCGACTTGTAGGAGAAAGATCAAAAGAAGGGCAACGAGCTCAGCGATCTGGCGAAAAAGGACCTCATCAAGAAGATGATGCGCTTCCTCCTCATGAAAGGTAGGGAAGGGAAAATGAAGAAGCGCAAGTGCTCATATGTAACGGTCACCATGTTTGCTACTGTCTCCTGGTTGTTGTCAACGGGCTTCTTGTTGTCTAGTAACGCTGCACGTCGTTGTCTGTCTGTAACTGTCTCTCTGTTGTTGTAATTTTTCCATTGTTGTAATTTTCTCCGTTTGTCCGTTGAAAGTGGTGTCCTTGTTGTCTGTTGGGATGGTCGCCCCCCGTGCTGTCTGTTGCTGTCTCCTGGTTGACTGCTGCTGTCACTGCTGTCTCCTGTTGTCGGTTGATATTGTCTCCTTGCTGTCTGTTGTAGCTGGCTTCCTTGCCATCTAGTGTCACCGCCTCCTGTTGTAGTAAGGGTATACATTTTATATGCTCTTTACATGATGTTAAAGACTAGAACAATATGATAATAGTTTGTAATCAAGTTTGTTTTGTAAATGCCTCAATTAATAATATTGGAACTAAAGCAATCATTACTACACGGCCATTGAATATTGCACTTTTTAAATATATCGATCGCCACTGCTGTGTCCTCGTTGTCGGTTGTAACTGTCCCGCAGGGCTGAATCATGAGCCCTTGACTAGGAAGGAGGTCATGGACAACGTGCTCGGGGAGAAGTACCGCAAGGCCGGAGTGCTGAAGTTCATCCTCACCAAGGCCGACGAGAAGCTGCAGCAAGGCATGGGTTTCAAGGTCAAGACGCCGCTCCCGGACAAGCCCTGGTTCGTCAAGGACACCTTCTACGTGGTGAACGTGCTGGTAAGGCGAGGGGGGGGGGG